GATTGGCAAGAGGAAGCAAGAAAGGAGGTGTTACAATTATTTGGCAAACAAACCCCAAATGTTGATGGCATTGGCAAACTGACAACAGTAAGAAACTTGTCTCAATATGTTCTCAATAAACTTCGAGATCCTGATTTGGTTATCCATTTTTCTTTTTGATGCAGATGAGTATGATCATCAATGAGTCTCTAAGGTTATATCCCCCTGGTGTTCACATTGTAAGGAGAGTCGAAAGGGAAGTTAGACTAGGAAAGCTGATTGTTCCTAGTAATCTTGAATTGGATGTCTCAATCCTAGCACTTCACCATGATCCTCAAATCTGGGGACAAGATGTGCAACTTTTCAAACCAGAGAGATTCTCGGAAGGGGTTGCCAAAGCAACCAACAATCATGTAGGTGCATTCATACCCTTTTCAATGGGACCTCAAAGTTGTGTGGGCTTAAACTTTGCGACAACAGAAGTGAAGATTACTTTGTCAATGATTCTACAACATTACGCCTTCACCCTTTCCCCGGGTTATGTCCACTCGCCCTTACATCTTCTTACAGTTCGTCCGCAACATGGAATACAGGTAAGGCTACAACCACTTTGAACTGCGAAGATCAGATCAGTAGCCCATGATTCTTGTACTTGGTGCATAAAGTGGGCATAACCCATGTTTTGCCTATGAATGTTGCACTTTGAGACAAGACAGACAAGAGCTTACTTGTCAATTATCCTTTCAAGTTTACAAAGCGATCGTTCTCTTTAGTTTTGCAGTATTTTGCTGAGTCCAAAGTTTCCCTGTTTGTTTTTGTTTTTTTGGTTAGAATGAAATCTTATGCTTACAGTTGTAATAAACATTTTCAGTTTTGTGGTAAAACGAATTTTGAAAAAATGGCAGAAAGAAAGCTTAAACACAATATGAATATTACATAAAGATAGATAAAAGCTGCAATATAGTATACTACGACTCTTTTATTCATGTAGTAGTAGTGAGAGAGTAGTTACTTCATTCCTAGCCATTTGCGCAAATCCTTGAAATAGGCAGCTGGGTTTCTCTCAAAGCTCTCCCTGGAGATTGCATAATCTCTTCCAGGTGCTTTCATATTCCCTGCTGCATTGCCTCCACCACCACCACCACCACTTGCTCCTCCTACATTGGATGACTAGCCTCCACCACCAGCATTTTGGTTTCCATTTCCAACCTGGCTATTACTATTACTATTAGAGCCTTCGCTTCCTCCCATCTTTGCAATCCAAAGTGTTTTTCTGGTTTTTTTTTTTTTTTTTTTGGTGAGATAAGATAATCTGAAGTGCAAATTACTAGGTTGGTTCTGTTTCTGTGGCTTTGTTAGAGGGGCACATTGCTATATATATACACAGCACAGATTTAGATTGTGCAGAAGTGGAAATTAATAGACGAAGCAGGAACTGCCAGAATTATATTGACTGTTTGTTCATTGAAATTGAGTTTTCCAAATACCGGGATAGGAGTGGGATTTGAATACTAAAAACCTTTGGATGAAGATTATATATTGGAATATGGTTTTTCCAATCCAAGTATGTGGTTTCTGAATGCTAATTAAGATTTAAGAAAAGGATGTTATTGAAGTCGACGCATTTCCCAACAACAATTGTACAATAAAGAAAGCTTGAACATCAAAGCTCTGCTAATTCAAACTGAAACTGCATTACAATGTGTTGTAGTAGCAAACCAAATTCTTCAAATTGAGAATTTGTTGGCTACTTTAATATTTTATGTCCCAACAAACTCTTCAATTCAATTAATGCAATGTTACGGAAAATAATGAAAAATATGAAAACATGTGAAAAATGTCTATATATTTATTGTTTGGAAGGAAAAAATGAATGTTTTTAGATTTTCAAAGTAGGTTTTATTTTTCCAAAGAAAAATAAATGTTTTGAAGAGTCAATGTCAATTACAAGTCCTGAGGAGAGAGAAAGATGTTACACCTTTGATAACTGAGTTTGTCAATAATGTTAGAGAGGGTTTTGATGATGTGATTCACTTATTTTAGCATTCCAAATCTGTTGAAGAGGCTGTTAGAGATGCTCTAATGTTTTGCTCAAATATCAACAAGGTGTTTTGACCCAAAAAAAAAAATTAAAGAAAAGAAGTGAACGAGGCCGAAATAGAGTCCAAAATAGTGGGCTATTATGGGCCTCTGCCTATGACATATTTCTTGGTCGAAAAAAGGAGGCTCTCTCTCTCTCTGGGCTACTCAGCCGCCTTCCTAATTATACTCAAGTTCAGACATAGAGAGGTACGGGCTCTTTGACAAAGCATTTTTACTGTTTTATGGGATGGAAGCATGAATTTGATTGTCCTTTCTGAAGGTTTAAAAGAATTTTTTTTTCCCTTTTCAAGACATTGAATTTAATGAGGTTAATATGAAAATGTTAAGAGTCTAAATTGAATTCTATTTGCTTGTGTAGCCATTCAGCTCAACACGGGAAGCCCTTGCTATGATTACTTGGCTCCACCACCAGCATTTTGGTTTCCCACCTGGCTATTACTATTACCATTAGACCCTTTGCTGCCTCCCATCTTTGCAATCCAAAATGCTTTTCTGGTTTCTGTTTTTGGTCAGGGGAGATAATCCGAAGTGCAAAATTACTCAGTTGGCTTGGTTCTGTGGCTTAGTTGGAGGGGTGCATTGCTATATATACACACAGATTCAGATTGTAGTGCATCAGTTTGGTTCTAAGAATTAAAAGAGTCAAAAGTGGAAATGAATAGAAGAAGCATTGGAACTGCCAGAATACTATTGACTGTTTGTTCATTGAACTTGAGTTTTACAATTACTGTGATAGGATTGGGATTTGAATACTTGGATGAAGTATGGTGTTTCCAATCCAAGTACGTGGTTTCCTTTCTGACTGAATGTCTAATTACGAAAAGGATGGCATTTCCCAACAACAATTGTACAATAAAGAAAGCTTGAACGTCATCGAAAGTCCTGCAAACTCCATTATAATTTCTTGCTCAAATATCAGATACCTCAATCAACAAGGTGTTTTGATCCCCCAAAAAAAGAAAAGAAAAAGAAAAGAACTACGAGGCCCAAATAGAATCAAAGCAAACAATTTAGGTCCGCAAAAGAAGAATATGACAGCCCAGAGATCTTCGACCAAATATCTTGGTGGGAGCGGATATGAAAGTTTTAGTGACATCGAAAATGGGGAAAGCGGATCTGCTCCCGAGGTCGATCACTACTTTTCAAAGCTCTAGTCTCTCTGTTAAGTTGAGAAAAAGTCATGAAAGAAATTCATATGGTAACGTCATTGGTGACGACGAAGCCAGGAGATAATTCCAACATGAAGTCACTAGACTACCGTGATGTATCAAAAGTCTACAAATAGCAGATTAAGGTTTCAATGAGAGTCACTTGCGATGATATTTGCCCTTGGGATTGTAGGAAATAGCAGGACAAACTAAGTAACAATCAAAAGCTAACTTGACTTTTTTAAGAACTGGGATGAAGAAAACATTGTAGAAATGCATATTTCTGTTGGGATAAAACCCTGTTGCATAGTAAAGCTCCAGTTTCTTGTTCTGAGGGAGAGGCAGGTCTTTGATCATCTCGCTGTTGAATAACCCAAAACAGCATGTAGCTTCTTCATCTTGGACGACAAGAATACCAGAGTTTGGACCCTCCGGTGGAGGCAATGAGAGATCAGCAGGGGAGTTTTCTTGACTTTTTTTCTAAACAATCAGGAGCAAGAAAAGCTTTAAAAACTCGGTAGGGTTCATTCAGAGAAAGAGAGAGAGAGATAGCTAAAGAGAAAAACAATACCCAAAAAATGACTACTTTGGGAGGCCTGCCCATGAAAAAGGAAGTCATGGGCAGGCCTCACATTTTATCGCACGACATATTTTCTGTAGTTCAACCCGGGTTCACTCGTGGACCAAGATATATGGTAACAAAATAACAAGCCATCTCAGTTAGTTAACTATTGTTATTTAAATCTTAGTTCTAAATAAGAAAACTTTTGATCATTTTTGCATGCAATTACAGGGAAGAATTATCTTCAATGG